TGCATGAGAAAAGGAATCTTGCACTGAAAGGACAGAAATTTTAGCTTCAAGCATCACACTGCAACAGATCTCTCTGGTAACTCAATGGGCAACTCACTTACGGCAGCACCCAGATCACAATAAAAGGAGTACAAGATTTTGGCTTTCATGGGTTTTGGGGTTAGGATTTTCTTTCCAGTGCCTCAGTGCCTCTACAAACCACTGAATATATTGCTTTCCAAGATTGTTATGAGGCTAAACACATTCTTTGCGTAATGTTTATCCGTGAAGAGAATGTAGAAACAGCTATGTTTGGAAGCCTTTTAGCCTCATACTTGATCCTCTCCTATCAGGGTTTCACTCTTAATGAACACAAGTTTTCTGTGCGCTCTCAAGATGGCTCCAGCACCAGTTCTGCAAAGAAACCTAGTCACTTCAGAGCTCTTTGTTAGACCTCTATGCCCTTTATCTCCCTTCTTCCTTCCTTCCTAGTCATAGCATTATTCTAGAAATGAATCCCCTATAGTATTTGAATGTTTGAAGCTTAAGCTCCCTTTTGTATTGATTCCCACATTAATAGACATGAAGATAAGGAGTAAGGACCACTGGGGCTTTTCGATCTCTATCTGTATCACTGTTGCCGTATCTCTATCTCTATTATCCCTCTCCCTCACTCTCTCCTTTACCTCTACCTGTCAAAATCACAAAATTTCTTATTACTTCAGTTTGCTAGTTCATTAAATGGTTTTAAGAAAGCTATCATCATGCAGATGTTGTGTAACTAATATTTCTAAAGTGTTTTGAGAACATCAGCTTTAGGTGTCAGAGATGACTGCTCTGATCTTCTCTTCTGCTTGTCTCATCATACAAATATGCGTTCTTTTTCCAACCTTCTCCAGTGAAACGTCCTATATATTAGTTATCTTTCTGGAGTCATATCTCTCTTCTGTCTTCCCTGCCTCACTGGCTTTCATTTTTTACTACGATCATTACCTCACCCCAATTTCTTTCTCCTAACATCTCCTATGCTGGTGCATCTATTAGCACCTCAGCACTGCCTGTGAATACAGCTGCATCAACTCCACTGCTTTTGCATTTCATTACAGCAGCTTCTCCGTAGCTGGCCTCCCCAGGACAAAGATTCCTAGACACCAATTTTCATGTACTATCACTATATGATTTCTCCTATGTGCCAAAAAGTGCCACTGCAGCACTCAAATACTCATTTCAGTTCCATGGAGTTGCTTCTTACTTCATGCCCTTCATCTCCCTCCTTGCATCTTTCTCATGCCCCTTTATTTCCTACAGCACTGCCCCCTCTCTCCACAAATAGCAGCACTCTTGGTTTGCCATTGGAAGCAGACTTCCTGCAGCTCCCTGTCTCATCAGCTTCTCATTTCATGTAATTTAAAATGTAATTTAAAATCTCTCTATTTCCTCCAGCCTATTAATTTCTCTCTCCTTACTCTCCTATAGATGTCATTTTGTGTTGTGCTGTTCGGTAACACACTACTGCTGTAAAAAAAATCTGCCACAGTGCTTTTATTCTGTATTCTTGTTTTGTATAATCATTTTTAATGATTCTTTGTAGGAAAGATGAAATCTCAGCACAGCATCTAGCCACAGCACAAGTAGTCGCACAGGACATTCTGGCATTTGCATTGCCTTTGTTCCGTTCTTCTCCTGTGGCATTTAGAATTGTAGAGGGATTATTGTGCACGGTCTAGAGCGTATAAGTAGGATAACAGGAAAAGAATTATTTCTGGAAATTGGGAAGTATGAGGCAGGAGGATGTATTTAGTCCTGATTCTAAGACATGCTGATTCCTTATAGGTCCCACTCTGTTTAGCCAGAGAATAAAGAACTCACCATATTGCAGACCTTGCCTTCTTGCATTGGCAGTTTCTCTTGGGAGAATGCTCCACTGTTCTGTTGCTGGACTAACCTGAAATCAGACTTGTCAATAGTCCTGTACTGACTTGAGAGTGTTTGTTTTGGCCCAATTGCAGCTTTATCCTCTGAATCTGACAAGATGAGTCTAATAAAAAAATATATAGTCCTATAATTTCTGCAGCATTTTCCTTGTTGCAGATTAAATCTATAATTTAATAATTTAATAATAATTTAACCTTGTAGGAATGCCCTGTAAGCCCAAATCTTCAGCCTCAGCAGTGTCTGCTTACTCACCCTACCAGTCCCACTACACTCAGCAACAAAACCAAGCTCCTCAACCCAGACACCACCCCTATTTGAACAGAGCAGCACAACAACCCTGTGCCAAGTTGTCACAGTAATACAAAGACTTAACCACACAGGCTACGCAGGTAAGCCCTAAGCAAAAAGAAACATAGCATCACCTTTTCTATCCCTCTCCTCTTTGAATGACTGCTGTGTAAGGATAGCTAAGCTTTCAGGGGCCTTGAGCCTTTCGTATCTCCATTCGCTCCAGTCAGATTGCCTGTGCGGTGTTACTAGAAGATCTGAAATAGAATTTTGGAAAACACAGACTAACTGAGAAACTCACCTTCTACGGAGCTACGAGCTCCACAGACTTTCATAGTTCCTCCGCCTTCTGCATATGCAGTGTTGATGCCTGATGGACTTCAGTGACAGAATATTAAGCAAAAGCTTTCTTCCTCTTCAGAGCCTTCAGAAATAAGGGTAAGGTAGGAAACATACAGCTACCAACAAAAGAAGAAAATGGTTCTAAGGCTTCAGAGTGACTTATTTCTCCCTTACTGCTTTCTTCTCTGAGACACTCTCCCCTCTCTCAGGGGAAACTTCTCAGAAGGGGAGTAGAGATCCTAGGATGATCTAATTAACTTCCCTAGCTACAGGCCACATGAAGACCCCTCGTCACTGCACACAACCCTTGTAAGGCCATCTTCTCCTAGCAGCTGGAGGGTGGGGTTCTCTGCAGCTCTCAGCCTTTCAAAAATACTTTGAGCCAAAAACACCATTTCAAAGAAACAATTTGTCACTGCTCTCCTCCCTTCAATGCAGAACGCTGTACACAGAGAGTTAAAAGGCCCTCCTGCCCTTGCCACACTCAGCTGTTTGACAAGCCCAAGAACCTCGTCTTCTCTCCCTCCCTACCCCACCGCAGCTCCTGTGAAGCCAGATTTCTGACAGATGAGGCTAGGAACTGTGGTTATTGCCTGAGGAGATGGCAGGGACTCCCAGCAATGCCTCATTGGGGCTCAGCCTACATGGCCTCTTGTCCACCTTCCTCCATCTCTCCTCCTGCTTCTGCCGGACCTTTTCCTGCATTCTGCTGAGGATCTGTGTATGGTGGGTTCCAGACAACAACCAGTGCTTGCTGGTGAACACCCTTCTCTCTTTCTCAACTGTCAGGGCAGCCTGGTCTGAGGTCTCCCAGTCAGGGAAATGCTCAGCAGTCTGTAGGGTATCCAGTGGACATCCTGCCACTTGCTTTAGAGTCTGCCATGTCCAACAGACCTGAGGGAAATTGTCCTCAGAGGACAAAACCATCATGAATCCCAGAGAGGGAGAAGGGAGGACAGAGAAATGGAGTTATGAATTTAAAATGTAGCTGAAGCCCTCAACTTTCCAGCACCCCCCTCCCCTGATTCTCACCCCCACTCCTGCAGAATAGTGGACGTAAAGCCGCCCTTCTGGTATCTTGTTCACTCAACTATGAAGCGGATCACAGAGAAACAAAATCAGTAACATCAAGAACTAGATTATTCTTTTTCCGTATGATTGTTGCATTAATGAGCAGCTACATGTACAGAATCAGGAGGTGACTAATGTAATTAACCTGGTGTAATGATGCTGCTTAGGAAGGGAGAGAGAATTAAAGCATACTTAGAGGTCAGTATTGCACAATTTTCTATATGTTTCTGGTACTGTTGGGTTGTGTCTGACATGGGATACTTAAGCATCACAGGCAGTGGTAGATTTCAGTTTGTATCCATTCTGCTCATGCATCTTTTTGCGCAAAAGGAATATGTGAAAGGCGGATTATCTTGTGTAGAGCGAGGGTGGGGAGGAAGGGATTCAGTTTGCTGTGGTTCCTTTTCTTAGCAAAATAATAGTAATAAATCATCCTTTTCATGACAAATCTTCCCAAAATGTCTGCTTCTTGGAGCAGGCTTTGGGATTTCACAGAAAGCTACAAAGAGAAAGTCAGAACACAGGGATTCATGCAACACTGGTCAGGGGAAGACAGAGGCACAGAAGAAAAATGAGCAACACCAAAGCATATGCAACTTGCAGCTACCCCGAGAAGAGTGAAGAGCAAGCACTTAAAAATAATAACAACAACAATAATAAATGCTCATATTCGAATTACCCTTCCACGTTACATTTCACCCGTCTCGTGGGGAGAGAAACGTCTGCCCGAAGTTTTGCGCGGGTCTAAGCGCGATGCGCGGGGCTGCGCTCGCAGCTCCGGGCACGCAGGGCTGGGATGCGAAAGCGCCCGAGCCGGGGGGCGGCGGGCGAAGCGGCGCCGGTGGGGGCAGAGAGAGGCAGAAAAGCA